CTGTGGCGTGGGCTTGGTCTTTAATCCCCTAGGGTGCTGCTCACAGCTAAGTCTGCTGCTGTCCGTGGCTTCCTAGCCCTCCACCCTCTCTCACGTCTGCAGATCCTACCAGTGTCCCTGGTTATATGGTCCTGTCCTGCTGCTCTTCTGTTGCTTTTTTCCGAGGTTTTGTCTTTATTATAGTTATAATTCCCATTTGGTCCTGGGAGTTCATCTGTGTAGCTTCCCTTCACTCTGCCTCCATTTTCACATCCTCTATGCCTATCTTGTGCGCAGCTGGGTCGCACAGGCCTCTCTGTTGCCCCCACACCCTGCAGGTCCTGCAGGTAACTGGATGGCACAGTCCCTGCTGGGTGGCACAGGCCTCTCTGGTGCTCCCGCACCTCGCAGGTCCCGTGGGCAGGTAGCTGGATCGCACCAGTCCCTCTCGGGCTCTAGCTTCCCACTGCTCTTGTGAACTGCTGGATCACGCAGGCCTCTGTGGAGCCCCAGGTCCCACCACTGGTAGCTGGGGAGTGCTGATGCCCTGTGGGGCTCAATTTCTGCTCAGCTTTTGATGTAGTTTTTGGGGATGGGTCTCAGCTGCTGGTCTGTGCTTCTGTTGCCTGGGATGGATGTGTGCTCCCCAGCCTCTGTTGCTGGGGGTATATCTCAACTCCATCTCTGATCGGGCTGCTACTATGGGGGATGGTGCTGGGCTCCCGGCTGTCTGCGGCCTCCGTGACCAGCACCTTGGCAGCTCCACTACTGTGCACTTGTCTGTGTTGACACAGAGTGTCCACCGGTCCAGTGGTGCCAGGTGTGCTGGTGGCTCAGGTTGCTGGGCCCTAGCCGCTCCCACTGCCTCCTCCCAGGGAAGACCCAGGATCTTCCAAAATGGTGGGACCTCCCCGTGGCGCAGGGAGAAGCGCCCTGAAGGGCCGCTAACCGCAGTAGCCGGCTGCTCAGGTCCACAGCACAGGAACCTTCTGCTCCGTGTCTCTGCACTGCTTGGGTTTGGTCATCCACCTTCACGTCTACTCACACTCTCTCACATGCTCGCTCACTCTCTGGAACACTTTCCCTCTCTCCGGTCCTACCTGCCACCATCTTCACTCTGCCTGGATGAAACATTTTAATCTAATCCTTTCCTGGAATTTTGAGCAATCTTCTTTTTCATTATAAATATAAATAGATTTTACTCTAATTTGTATATAATTTTTTTATATTTTATTTAAAAAGGAATCATACAATACATATGTATTTGTGTTTGGTGTTTGTTTTGGGGGGTTTTTTTTGCTCAACGTTTATAAGATTTATATTATTGAATATAGTTGTAGAGTGGCGGTTCTCAACCTATGGGTTGTGACCCTTTTGGGGGTTGAACGACCCTTTCACAGGGGTCGCCTAAGACATAACACTATCAAAATTACAGTTGTGAAGTAGCAACAAAATTTTTTGGTTGGGGTCACCACAACATGAGGAACTGTTTTAAAGGGTCACGGCATTAGGAAGGTTGAGAACCACTGTAGAGTGTTCATTCTCTTGGCTGTATACTATTCCATATGTATATGTACCATAATTTTTCCATTCTACTGCTGATGGTATTTGAGTTGATTACAGGGGAATGTTATGAGTAGTGCTGCTAAGAGCATAGTTGTAGATGTCTTTTCATGGACATAGCACTCATTTTTGTTGAGCATCTACGTAGGAGTGAACTACTTTGCCATAGGATATGTATAATTCTGCTTTGGTAGATACTGCCAAGCAATTTTCTAAAATGATTCTACCAATTTATAGTTTACCAGTAGCATATGAAAATTCCCTTTACTCTGCATCCTTGCCAACACTTGGTATTCTCTACTTTTTTTTTTTTAATTTTAATAATTCTCATGAGTGTGGTTACATTATGTTGTGGTTTTAATTTGTAATACCTTGAGACTAATGAAGTTAAACCACCTTTCCAAGTGTTTATTAGCAATTTTGTGAAGAGCCTGTTCAAGTCTTTTGTCCATTTTTCTATTGATAACCTCTTTAGAAGATTATGTAGACCAGTACATATTCTTAACAATTAAGCAAGTGAACACGATTGTGTACAACTTCTATTTTAAGTCTTTGATGTCTTGAGACCATAAAATTGCCTGAAAATGGGATGTTCTTGAAGATCAGTCACCTCAGGAGTGATAGACCTTAGCACGGTGGTTCTTAATCACTGATATGCATCTTATATCCTCATACCCATTAGCAGTCAGTCATTCCTTGTTTCCCTCGCCCCCAGCTCTTGAAACCACTAATGTACTTTCTATTTCTTTAGAAATTCTGTTATGACAACTGATGGACATGTCATGGAATCATGCAATATGTGACTGGCTTCTTTCACTTTGCATAATATTTTTAAAGTTCATCTGTGTTGTAGCACATGTCCATACTTGATTCCTTTTATGGCTGAATACTATCCCATTATATGGATAATACCATTTTTTGTTTCTCTGTTCATTAGCTGATGAACTTTTTTTTTATGTAATTTTTTTTTTTTTGTACGTGCCCCTAGCGGGAACAGAACCTGGGACTCTCTGGTCCACAGGCCAACGTTCCAACCACTGAGCCAAACCAGCCAGGGCATGAACTTTTGGGTTATTATGAATAATGCTGCTATGAATACTCATAAGTTTTCGTGTGTACATATGTTTTCATTTGTCTCAGGTAGGTACCTAGGAGAAGAATTGTTGGATCATATGGCAACTCTAATTAGCATTTCAAGGAACTACCAAACTAAGTAGTTTTTCTAAGTAGCTACATCCATTTACAGTCCCACCAGCAATGTATGAGGGTTCCAGTTTCTCATATCCTCACCATCACCAACACTTGTTATTGTCTATCCTTTATAGCCATCCTAGTGGTATGAAATGATATCTCATTGTGTTTTTTATTTGCATTTCCCTAATGGATAATGATGTTGATTGAGTATATTTTCAAGTGCTTAGTTGCTATTTGTAGATCTTCATTGGAGAAATCTATTCAAATACTTCCCCCAATTCTTAATTGGTTTATTTGCCTTTTGTTAATGAGTTGTAAGAGTTCTAGATACAAGCCACTTATCAGATGTGTGATTTTCAAATATTTTCTACCATTGTATAAGTTATCTTTTCACTTTCTTCATGGTATTGTTCGAAGCACAATAGTATTTGGTTTTGGTGTATCCCAATTTATCTACTTTTTCTTTTGTCGCTTGTGCTTTTGGCTTGCTATCTAAGAAACTATTCCAGAATCCAAGGTCACAATGATTTACTCTTATGCTTTCTCTTAAGAGTTTTATAGTTTTACCTCTTATATTTAGATCTGTGGTACATTTTAAGTTGATTTCTGTGTGAGGAAGGAGGCAGTCCAACTTCATTCTTTTGCACGTGCATATTCAGTTGTCCCAGCATCATTTGTTGAAAGACTGTTCTTTTCTCATTTAATTGTCGTGACACCCTTATTGAAGATCTGTTACAGTAACTTTGTATGGGATTTGACTAAGGTACTTTTTTGTTGCTTATTGTCTACTAGTGAAATGAGTTTTTCTCTACTTTTAGGGGGGAGAGAATGGGCAAAGATAGCTTTTCTAGTTGCATTGTCTAGATTAAAGCTCACCTGTGTTTTTTGCAAAGTGCATATATATCTTTACCTACCTATCTGAGATATGCCTTTTCTGTTCTTCTTCACCAGCTGTATCTGAACCTTCTCTTCTTTTCCCCTTGGCCCTGTTGTGTTGTATTCCACAACTTGGATTCTGCTCCCAGCCAGTTTCTCTTTGTTGAGACTTTGTCTTGAAAGGACAGTTTGGTTTATTACGTTTGAGAGTTTATAAAGGCTCAGACTGCACCATTAAGACCTTACTTATATCACATGGAGTCTGTTTGCATTTATTTATAAATGGAATTGTGTCAAATTCCCTCACAGTTTCTGCAACTATTTTCAGACTGGCCCCCATGCTATCCACTGAGCATCTACTGTTGACTGTGAGGCTCCTCTTTTCTGTTCTCTGTCAGAAGCCCTCATGCCTTCCCACACATCTTCCCTCACAGATGCTCCTACTGTGCAGGTCTTGTACTTGTCAGAGGTTTGTTTTTATGTGCTTACATTTGGAGCTTTGTCTCCTGATTTTGTTGTAGATGTTATTGTGAATTTTTGATTTTGCCATGCTTTTATCTGGGTTTATGGAGAGATTTAGAGGAGATTCCAAAAAATACAGTGCCATTGCTATCACCTTCCTAGAATCCTCTCATTTACAAATGTTTTTTGTTTTAAAAAGTAATACATGTTTATTGTGACTATTTTTTTTTATTTTTTATCCTCACCTGAGGACATTTTTTCATTTTTTGTTCAGATAGAGTAGGAGGGAGAGATTAGAAGAGAGAGAGAGAGAAACATCTACATGAAAAGGACACATCGAGTGGCTGCCACCCGCACGACCCAACCAGGGCTGGGGACAAACTGCAACCGAGATACATGCCCTTAGCGGGAACCGAACCCGGGTCTGTCTGGACCACAGGCCAATGCTCTAACCGCTGAGCCAAACCGGCCAGGGCCAAATGTTTTTTGTTTTAAATATATTTTTATTGATTATTTTAGAGAGAGAGAAAGAGAGAAACGTCCATGTGAGAGAGAAACTCTATTGGCTGCCTCCCGCACTCCCCCTACTGGGGATTGAGCCTGCAACCCAGGCATGTGGCCTGACTGGGAATCAACTGGTGACCTCTTGGTGCATTGGGACCATGTTCAATTCACTGAGTCACACTAGCTGGGTAACAAATGTTTTTAAAGCACCTTCTATTCCTTTTTAAAAACAGTATGGTGTCTATAAGTTAAAAAGAAAATGCAATTCTATAGTTGATTTTTAGTTCTGTAACTCAAGATAATTCTATAGTGAAACAAATTATAGGAACTTTTTCTAGGCTGAGTTAAATATCATAAAATGTTATACCCATTGAATGTATGGCATATTTTGATTGCGCTAAGGATCAACTTTTCCCTTTCAGAATAACAAGCCTTTATATTCATTCGAAGATAATTCAGACTATGTTTATGATGTTATGTGGTCACCCACCCACCCAGCCCTGTTTGCCTGTGTGGATGGCATGGGGAGGCTGGATTTGTGGAATCTCAATAATGACACAGAGGTAAGTGGGAAAATAACAAAAACTGCACTGAAAAATAGAAAATTGGAGAGTTATTGAATAATTTGTGAAATTCTTTTTATCCTAAGGAATGTAAAGGGGCTCTGTGAGTGTAACATCATCACAAAGAAACCAAATAAGCTTTGTACCCTAAATAATGAAGAGCATGCTGTGCAAAACTGAGGGGAGAAATAATTTTGTGAAGGGCACTGGGGCATTTCCTCTTACTTCTGAAAAGCACCATGGTGCCTCTCATGTCCTGGCAAAGTCTCATTCATAGGGCTGTGGGAATATTTTTCATTCATAGGGTAGAAAGCAGAGAATTTCAGACTCTTAGAGTATGTTAACCTTGTTTCTGACTTTCTAAATTTTCTTAGCCTTGATAGAATTGTATGTCATCCATAAACATTGGTCTTAGCCTGACTTTGAATGAAAGAAAAATGTATTTTGATGACTTGTTACATGAAAGAGTGAAAACATTGTTACTGTTAATGTAAAATGAATATAGAAACTATCCAGTTTTCTGATTGCTATACTAAAATCACTTGTTGGCAATGAAATTTAACTGCAGCTATTATTTATTTTTTAGCCATGTGTATTTTTATCAGCTTAGAGAGGCTTAAAGGTGGTCTTAGAATTCTATATTGCTATGTGGTGGTAAGAAGTAATGTGAGCAGTTCTGTCAGTAACAGTTAAGAATAAAGTCTCTTGGTTGCTTCCTCACATCCCACTCATTCCCACATCTCTTTATATTTCCATTGGTGTCTGTCTAAATACCTTGAAGTAAAATAGTTGGTTATACAGAGCAAGGAAGTTATATACTGGAAATATAAAAATGTTAACATTATGCTAACTACTAGTTTAGTACTTTGAGGAGGAACAATCAGATACTGCCAGGAAAAGATATTAACCCCTAGCTAGATGATTGGACTTCATTAGACATGGCTGTTTACTAGAATGGTACCAATTTTATTTTCTTAGTTTGGATTTTAGTGTTAGAGATTCGTGGTTACAATTAATTTTTTATCTCTCCTGTAATCATAAACTCAAAAAACACATCTTAATTATAATTTTTCTCTGTAACAGTTTTAGCATGCTAAGTGGTTAAATTTATAATTTGGGGATGACTGTTGTCAGGAGGATTATTTTTAGTCAGATTTCAAATTAAAAAATTTTTTTTATTGTACTCTGGTCTGAGTCAACATTGAATGTTTGCTCTGCGTGTGGCAAGTAATCTCTGTTTCTTCAGTATAGGAGAGGTCCAGTCCGACTGCAGGGGCTGGGGCCATCCTTCTCCCTGCTCCAGGCAGTCCATGTAACGAGGGGCTTTGGAAAGCTCCTCCTGTACCTTCGTTCAGTAGGAACTGTTTCCAGGAACTGGGGATCAAATCACAAGTTTCAGCTGACAGAGATACAAGCTACAAAAGTAATTCCTGTCCTCTAAAACTGAGCCATAATCTGTTTAAGAGGGCTTCTGTAATGTTTTTTTAAAATAGGGTTTTGTCCATCTGTTGTCAAACAGCTTGACTTCTTAAAGAAGTTAAAACAACAAAGAATACTTTATTAAAGAGAAGATCTTTCAGAATGATATATCTAGTCATGTGAGAATTTCTTACATAAAGACTTAAGTTATTTTCCCAAACCATTTTCAAGGATTGACTGTAATGTCATTCATAATGTATCACTGAACAGGAAGAAAGTTGGGAAAATTCTTTATCTATTTTCATCTTTGTCTTTAAAAATGTAGCCAGATTGGAAGAAAGAAGAATTACTGTTTTACATGTTTATAGAAATCTTGATGAAACTTTTAACACTGCCCTGTATTTTAAATGACTTCAGGTGCCAACTGCCAGTATTTCTGTGGAGGGTAATCCTGCTCTTAATCGTGTAAGATGGACCCATTCTGGAAGAGAGATTGCTGTGGGTGATTCTGAAGGACAGATTGTTATATACGATGTGGGAGAGGTATGGGGCTCACTGCCTATCATTTTGACGCATCTATTTAGCTTTCACAACATAGTAGTAATATTATCTTTGTGGCTAAAACTAGTCTTGAGGTTCATGAATTGTATAAACTCTATGGTTATAAAGGTAATACTTTTCCACCATAGGAATGACACTTGCGATTAATTTTCTTTCTAAACTGGATGTTCTGTGTCCCCATACAACAGATTTTGAGGGTAATACCATATGTTGGAAGTACCTTATTTCTTTTTTTTTTTTTTATCCTTACCCAAGGACCTTTTTTTTTATTTTGTGTTCAGATAGAGTGGGAGGGCGAGAGAGAAAGAAAGAAAGGGAGAAACATCGATGTGAAAGGTACGCATCGAGAAGCTGCCACCTGCACGACCCAACCAGGGCTGGGGACAAACCGCAACCGAGATAACATTCCCTTAGCAGGAACCGAACCCAGGTCTCTCTGGACCGCAGGCTGACGCTCTAACCACTGAGCTAAACTGGCCAGGGCGGGAGTACCTTATTTCTTAAAGCATGCATTGCTGGAAGCTAGAAATTTTTTAGGCAAAATAAGAAATTTGGAGTTATAGTTTTGAGCTTTACATGATTGATGTTGAGGTAAGATTTTATTTTTTTGTATTCATAGATTTGTTTGGACCAAGTAGTAGAAATCAAAAGTAATATTTTTTTAGAATTATCTGATGACATTGTGAAATGTGAATCTGGGCTCTTAAGCCTTGTGGCAAATCATTATTTTTGAAACCAACAGGATGAGTTGGTTTTCTCTCATCATGAGCGCTTGGATTAGCTGTACACAATACTCAGAAATGATTTCCTTTTTTTCAGTCCTGGTTAGTGCTTTAGTCACTCCTTCTTTCACTATGCCTTATGATTCCTATCTGCTCTGGACATCCCAAGACCTCTAGCAATCAGATCTGGAGAGCGGTAGCTTGAATCATTTAGAATAGCCAGTTGAATTATCTGCACAGATGGAATTGCTCTGTATCCGCACTGTCCAGTATGGTAGGCACTAGCCACCTGTGGCTATTGAACACTTAAAATGTAGCTAGTACAACTGAAGAACTGAATTTAAGATGTTATTTAATTTTAAGTAAATTAAAGATAAGTGGTCACATGTGGTTAGTAGCTATCATTTTGGATTGGATATCACTGTCCCACCTAATCTAATCTAATTTTACAAGCAGGCACATCCATTTGCCACAATGAATGGTTTGTGTCCTAATATGGCAGTGTCACATTCCTCCAATACTATAATGACATTTATCAAACATTTTTGATTATTGGACTGCTTCAATGAGGCAAAAGCATCACAAGCCTCTTCCTATTTTGCTCTCGGTACATCACTAAAGTGGGAAGAAGTAGCATGTCTTCTGATGCAAAGATTAAGATATCAAGAAAGGTTATTTTATGCTCCAAACAAAAATAAATACTTATAAGAAACCAGCTCTTGCCCTGGCCGGTTTGGCTGAGCGGTTAGAGCGCCGGCCTGTGGTCCAGAGAGACCCGGGTTCGGTTCCCGCTAAGGGTGCGTACCTCAGTTGCAGTTTGTCCCTGGCCCTGGTTGGGTCGTGCAGGTGGCAGCCACTCGATGTGTCCCTTTCACGTCGATGTTTCTCTCTCTCTCTCTCTCCCTCCCACTCTATCTGAACAAAAAATGGAAAAATGTCCTTGGGTGAGGATTAAAAACAAAAAAGAAACCAGCTCTTTGACCCATGCTTCAAAATCTGTTTCAAACTAGGAATGGTACAAGAAGTAAAAAATTCTAAACTATTCCTCCCCACCAGCAAAATTCATGAGATAGTGCGTAGGAGTCACAGTTGCAGAGCATCATTGTTATTTTCTCTTGCACTGATGGTGATAATAGCAAAATCATTTCTGAGGCTGTCATAGCACACTTCACAAACACTATCTTTTGTTTCAAAATGTTATAAATCATTGTTATAGTCCCTGTAATTATGAAAAGGTCATTCAGGTAAATTATTACTTTTTAATAGAAAAATTATTTGAAAACAAATTGAATAATAGTGAGTCAATTGATCTTTTACTTCAGTATACATAAAACATTGTCTTTCTTTTAACAGCAGATTGCCGTCCCCCGAAACGATGAATGGGCACGGTTTGGCCGAACACTTGCAGAAATTAATGCAAACCGGGCTGATGCAGAAGAGGAAGCTGCCACCCGAATACCTGCTTAGCTCCTGAAAAGAGGATACGTAGCTTTAGCGGATTTGGAGAAGACTCAGTAGATCCTAAGACTATTTGCATGCTTCTGTAAATGATAATTAAAAGGAAATTTTGTGCATTAAACCATGGATTTAATGCAGCAAGCAAATCTTACAATATCCCTTTTTATATAACTTGCATCTTGTTTTGGATTTGTGTCATTTTTAATACAGCTGATTGACTTTACTGAATGCAGCCTTTTAAAATTCTTATACACAGGTGTATATTTGGTGTTAGTTATTCTTTTGAGTTATTTTCAATTTATAACACTCTATACAATTATTTCTAAAGCACAGATTAAATAAGTTCTGCATATTTTTAAATAATCTTAATTCCTTGTTATACTGATAATGTTCTCACTAACCATAATATGTAGAAACATTTGTTTATCTTAGCCATAGCATGCATACATCTATCCAAGTTACATTCTAATACTCTTTTTCTTCTTCATAATTCATGTGATAGCTATCTATAAATAAAAACAAATATGGTTTAACTTTTCAAATTTTTATTTTGATTTACTCTTCACAATTTTAATTTTTGCCTTTCTTTTATAAAGTGGGCTTTTTTTCATGTCTGTCTTTAAGTTCCTGTTGTTAGCAGCCACTTCAGATGCGGTAACGCTTTTTGCCTTAACTATACTATACGGTATACTGTAGATCTAATTCATGATGAACCGATGTTTAGATAATGTCAGTGGAAAAATTTTCTCCTACATTAATGTTTGCTTTACTCCCTTATTTTCTTTCCATTTAATATATATTTAGTTCAAAGAATAAACAGAAAGCTACCTATTTTCACTGATTGAGATTACTATGTATTGAGCTCTCTGAGACTAAAATCTCCTTTGAGAGAAATTGATTTCATGCTTGCAATAGCCATGAAGGAAGCATGCTCAAATGAATTTTGTCACTGAATCAATTTTACATCCTGAGATCTGTCACCACAACTTTGTCTACAAGTCTGAAAGGTATGTGACAGATATTTAAGAATTAGTGTTGAAATCAACCTATTTCAGGACTAAAAGAAAGAATTATGATCAGATCTTGATTTTATTGCTTTAAATTGTTCATTTTCTTAATTTTGACCTTTTGTTCTTCTAAAGTTTAACTGTCATTTATTCAACAGAAGATGAAATAGGAAGGAAGAATAGCTATCAGACTTTGAATATTTTTGTTTGGTTTGATTTTTTAAAATAATTCTAGCAAGGCTTCATTGGGAGATAAATTTCCAAATAATAAAACTTTTAAACTATGAGTATTATATAAGTTAAGGAAATAATTGACCAGGAATATTAAATTGAACTCTAGTTCTAGCTCTGGCACTCAGGAGAAGTATGATTTTAGCCAAATCTTTCCATCTGTCTGAGCCTCATTCTTTTTATCCAGGAATTAAGTTTGGATTAGAAGCTTTCTAAATTGCCTTCCAGCTCTAAAATTATTAATTATAATTACTTCAGGCAATTCTCCATTTTTATATATCCAATTTTTAATCAGTTGACACCCCATAATTGCCTATTATATACTGAAGATGAGTTTTTTGTATCTACAGGCAAACATCTCAAGTTAATCTCATGGTAGCAATGTCTGTGAGTCAAAAGTTCAATTATAGCAGGGTCACACAGTCTTTGTATAGGAAAATTCATACAATCACTACAATACTATATTTTTGCCCTCGTTTTGTAAAAATGAGTAGAAAAAGGGAAAACATAATTATGACTAAGGTTGGATATCAAGAGATTGACAAATCAGATGCACATTGGACTCAAGTTGATGTGTTCAATTGTGAAATAAAATTGGTAAGTATTTGCAAAAGACTTCTCACCAAAGAGTTTTGGCTTTGGGGGAATAAATTCTTCCCCTTCCCTCCCAAAAGTCTAATGTGGACCTTTGCCCATTTAAATTAAGTCTACATTTTTGAAACACATGAATTTAAATGAGGAATTGCTTTCCTATTTTTTTTGTTAATCCTCACTCAAGAATATTTTTTCCATTTTTTTTTAAGAGCTTAAGGGAGTGGGAGGGAGAGAGAAACATCAATGTGAGAGACACATTGATTGGTTGCCTCCCACACATGCCCCAACTGGGACCAAGGATTGAACCTGCAACCCAGGTACGTGCCCTTGACTGAGAATTGAACCCACAACCCTTTGGTCTGTGGGTCAATGCTCTAACCTCTGAATTACTGCAGCCAGGGCAGGAATTGCTTTTTAAGTTGATTATATAATAGCAAAATAGAAAGCACTGAGACTGTCAATATTGATGTAAAATCTTCTACGTTAAGCTGACTAGAAAAGTATATCACAGCTCTTTAACACTTTTAAAAATGAAAGTCTTTTTAATTTTGAAGAACTTTTAGTTATGGAAACATACTTCATTTTTTACCAGTTATATTTATTATTTTTCTGAGTGGGAAATGAGCCATAGATTTCTGGTTAATTTTTTATTTTGTTTTTGTTTGGTTTTATTGTTTTCTTTTTGAATGAGAAAAAGATTATTGGTTACACTTTTTTGTGTTGAGGAAGAATACTCATTTTTGCAGACAATAATTAACGTGCAGTAAATCCCAGAAACAATCATTTTTTTGGTATTTAAACAAAAAGTGTATTGGTAGAAGCTATCTTTTTATAAATCTAGATTCTTACAAAGATTAGAAAATCTAGTTATAAAATCTTTTTTTTAATCTTTATTATTGAATGTATTACAGATATTCCTCATTTTTCCCCCACTGACCTCCTCCTTCCCACTCCCACGCCCCTCCTGCCTTTTCCCACACTGCTGTCTATGTCCATTGGTTATGCATATAAGTTCTTTGATTTATTTCTTCCCACCCCCCAAACCCCTTCCCTTTGAGGTTTGTCAGTCTAGCAACCAATTTGTACTTAATCCCTTCACCTTTTTTACCCATTCCCCCAACCCCTCTCCCATCTGTCAACGAACAAAATGTTCTCTGTATCTATGAGAATGTTTCTATTCTGCCTGTTCATTTTGTTTGTTCATATATTATACCCTTTTCTTCGAAAAGACCCTTCAACATTTCATATAATAACGGTTTGGTGGTGATGAACTCCTTTAACTTTTTCTTGTCTGGAAAAGTCTTAATATGGCCATCGATTCTAAATGACAGCTTTGCAGGATAGAGTAATCTTGGTTGTAGGTTCTTGCTTTTCATCACTCTGAATATTTCTTACCACTCCCTTCTGGCCTGCAAAGTTTCTTTTGAGAAATCAGCTGACAGTTTTATGGGAACTCCCTTGTAGGTAACTAACTGCTTTTCTCTTGCTGTTAGGATTCTCTCTTTGTCTTGAACCTTTTGCATTTTGATGATGATGTGTCTTGGTGTGGGCCTCTTGGGGTTCATCTTGTTTGGGACTCTCTGTGCTTCCTGGACTTGTATGTCTGTTTCCTTCATCAAGTTATGGAAGTTTCCTGCCATTATTGTTTCAGATAGGTTTTCGATTTCTTGTTCTCTGTCTTCTCCTTCTGGCACCCCCAAGATGCAAATGTTGGCACACTTGCATTTGTCCCAGAGGCTCCTTACACTATCCTCATATTTTTGGATTCTTTTTTCTTTTTGCTGTTCTGATTGGGCGTTTTTTTGTTTCCTTATATTCCAAAACAATGGTTTGCTTCTGGGCTTTACCCACTCTACTACTGAATCTGTGTAAATTCTTTATTTCAGTTAGTGCCTCCTTCATTTCTGACTGGTCCTTTTTTTATGCTCTTGAGGCCCTCACTAAGTTCACTGAGGTTCTCACTAAGCTCATTGTGCATCCTAATCAGCATTTTGAACTCAGCATCTGTTAGGTTGCTTATCTCCATTTCGCTTAGTTCTTTTCCTGGAGTTTTGTTCTGTTCTTTCATTTGGGACCTGTTTCTTTGTCTTCTCAGTTTTGCCGTCTCCCTGTGTTTGTTTCTATGTATTTTTTTTTTTTTTAATCCTCACCCGAGGATACTTTTCCATTTTTTTGTACAGATAGAGTGGGAGGGAGAGAGAGGAAGGGAGAGAGAGACAGAAACATCAATGTGAAGGGACACATCGAGTGGCTGCCACCCGCACGACCAACCAGGGCCGGGGACAAACTGCAACCGAGGTACGTGCCCTTAGCGGGAACCGAACCCGGGTCTCTCAGGACCGCAGGCCGACGCTCTAACCGCTGAGCCAAACTGGCCAGGGCTGTTTCTATGTATTAACAAGTGGTATGGGGCTAGCCGAGACCAGATGCTGCTTGTTTGAAAGGAGTTAGGAAAACCTGAAGCAGGATCCAAGACAGGCCAATCCCATTTTGAAGCAACAGGCAACAGCTTGGGTGGGCCTGAAAGTTGGGTGGGGCGGGGCCTCAGGGAATCACCAGGGCGGGGCTACCAGTGTGAGCCAGGTTGCTGGAGTCCCAGATATGGAGACTGTCTGCCGCCCCAGGGAAGGGCTCACCAAAGAAACAAAGGTCTCTGACAGCACGTTTGTTCCGGAGAAAGCTGCCTCTCCAGCCCTCGCTCCAGTGCCAAACAGCTCAGTTCTTCCCTGTGTGTCTCTGGTGCCCCTGGAGCTGCCTCCCCTCCAAGCTTAGAGGGAGAGAGTCCGATAAGACCGTGCGCGGGCCCTTTAAGGAGCTGCCTGGGGCTCCAGCCGCGTCAGCCTCTCTGAGACTCAGTTCCCGCTGGTTTTTCCAGCCAAAAGTTATGGGGATTCTCTTCCTGGCAGTAGAACCCTGAGCGGGGCACCTGGTGAGGGACGGGGACCCCTCAGTCCTCAGGGAGGACCTTCCCAGCCGAGGTGTCCTCCTGATTTTTATCCGCCACACGTGGGTGTGGGACCAGCCTGTTCGCCTGCTGCTTTAATTCCGTAGTTGTAGGACTTCCATTCAGCTCGATTTCAGGCGGTTTTGAATGATTGTTGTTCTGTAGTTGTAACTTTGATGTGATTGTGGGAGGACGCAATACCTCGTTTACCTACCCGCCATCTTGACCGGAAGTTCTCTAGATATAAAATCTTGTAATAATGCTGAGATATTGCATCTTGAAAGAATGGATGACTTAGCCCAGCCAGTGTGGCTCAGTGGATTGAGCATCAACCCATGCACTAAGAGGTCACCTGTTTAATTCCTGGTCAGGGCACATGCCCTGGTTTTGGGCTCAATCCCTTGTAGGAGGCATGCAGGAGGTGGTTGATGTTTCTCTCTCACAACGATCTTTCAGTCGCTCTCCCTCTCCCTTCCTCTCTCTCTAAAAAATCAATGAAAACATATTTCTAAAAAAATTGATGGCTTGAAATTTAGGGGAAACTAAAAGAAAGGAGTGTCAGGGATCACTCTAGTTTTTTAATATTGTAAGAATGTTGATTGGTTCTGCTTTGTACTAGTCCTGATAGACTGTAACCTCTACCACTTGAAGCATATGGAAAGGAAGGGTTTGAATGAATGAAAATTTCCTTACTGTGAAGCATGACTTCATTTTCATTCTATTGGGTAGTGCATTTTTAAATGTCTTTTCCACAATCCCTGTATTTCAACATTGTCATTGTGAAATTTTCTACATTAAAAAAGCTGCACAATAGGGTGTATACCAGAGAGAATGGCACTTCAGCTAAACTTTTAGCTGCTCAGTGGCTGTGAGAACAGAGTTGTTTAAAACATGACATAGCATCCAAAGGGGTAATGTCATGCCTGAATCTTGGGCATAAGTCTAGGGTAAAAAGCCATTGGCTTTGCCTCATTTGATGATTTAGTGATGACATTTTTTTTTTTTTTTTGTCAGGTACATAGAGGCAGAAACGGAATTTTCTTTTCTGCTATCATCTTCCTGATTGCTAGGCAACTAGGGACCTTACAGGTTTAGGGGAATACCTGGAAATCACTTTTGACTGATTAAAAAATACTGGAGAATTAATTTACTTACAGATCTGGTTTACAGATTCTGTGGATTTCTAGTGCTACCAGAGAAAGTAGCCTAAAGGCAAGAAGAAAAGAATATCTGTGTTTATTATTTCGTTTGCAGTAGAGGATCACAATTAAGAACATTTATTTTGCCCCGGTCGGTTTTGCTCAGCGATTAGAGCATCAGCCCGCAGACCAGAGAGTCCTGAGTTTGGTTCCCACTAAGGGTATGTACCTTGGTTGCAGTTTGTCCCCGGCCCCAGTTGAGGTTGTATGGGTGGCGGCCAGTCGATGTGTCTCTCTCTCCCTTCCCCCCTCTCTCCCTCCCACTCTGTCTGAAGATAAATGCAAAAAGTGTCCTTGGGTGAGGATTAAAAAAAAAACACATTTCTTTTGCCTAAAGACATGAAAAAAGGCTCAACATTACTAATTATGAGAGAGATGTAAATTAAAACGGATATGAAGTATCACTGCCATGATGGTTGCCATCAACAAATCATCAAACAAGTGCTGACAAGGGTGTGGAGAAAAGGGGACTCTAGTATATTGCTGGTGGGAATGCAGACTCATATGCACAATGGTGTTTCCTCAAAAGTATTAATAATGGAACTGACCAGTGATTCCGTTCCTGGAATATATTCTAAGAAGCCTGAAACACCAACCAGAAAGAATATATACACCCCTGTGTTCATAGCAGCACTATTTACAATAGCTAAGATCTGAAAACAGCCTTTGTGTTCATCAGTAGATGAGTGGTTTTAAAAGCTGCGGTACATTTACACAGTGGAATACTATGCACCTATAAAAAGGAAAGCTCTCTTACCCTTTGAGACAGAAGGACCCAGAGAATATGCTAAGCAAAATAAGCCAGTCAGAGAAAGACGAGTATCACGTGATCTCACTTATTTGTGGGATATGATGAACAAAATA